GGGGAGGTGGATACATGGACAAGCCAGTAACTCAATCCCCCCATGAGAAGACCCTTTATAAACAATCATTCCAACTCGAAACAAACCCACCTCTCCACTCCCCACCCAAATAAAGTGCCGTAGCATGAAGGCCATTGAATACGCAGCTGCCGCATCAGCGCCAGCAGCACGGGAATCGCTGCTCCTGTTGCTGGGGAGAGAAGGACCTGGGTGATCCCTGAACGTGCAGCTCAGTGAAGCAGGGAGCGGAGGGCTCTACAGCACGGGTCTCTTGGTTACTGCTCTTCCACGTGGATGATTGTCTCATTCCCTTCCTCTGGGAGCTGGGGAACGGCGTAAACTAGAGCCCGGTCTTCCTCCTGGCAGATGATGGCAACCGTGCTGCCGCTTTCTGGCATCACCGCGCTGGACTGCAGGCACGCCTAGGGGAGAGCAAGACGGGAGGTTAAAGATTTTGCCTGGAGAGGTTTTCGGGCAGGGCTGCTTAAAGGACGGGAGGGGCCAGGGCTCAGAGGTGGCACTGACCGTTTGCTCTCTCCGGCCTTGGCTACACTCGGGAATTCCCAGTGCTGCCGCGTTGCGAGAGAGCGTGCAGCGCTGCAGGCTCTGATCACACTGGCGCTTTACACGGCTGGCCCAGGGCAGCTGACTTGGCTTGCGGGGCTCAAAACTGCAGTGTAGACGGCCAGGCTTGGGCTGGAGCCCAGACTCAAACCCGGCGAGGGGTGGGTCTCAGCGCCTGGGCTCCAGCCCGAGCATCTACACTGCCATTTTTAGCCCCGCAGCTCAAGTCAACTGACCTGGGCTCCAAGCCTCGGTGCCGTGCGTTTTTGCCTTGCAGTGTAGACGTACCCTCTGGTGTTTGGCTGGCTGGTTCTTGCTGCTCAGGGTCGAACGGGTCGCCATATGTGGGGTTGAGAAGGAATTTCCCCCTCCAGGTCACGTTGGCGGGGACCTCAGGGGTTTTTCACCAGCGTGGGGTGGGTGGGTCACTTGGCAGGATGATCTGGGTCTATCTCCCTTCATCATTCCCCTGTCACTGCTGGGCCCTGGGGCCCCTCGGTCCCTCCTATTCACTGCCTGCGGCACGTGATAGGTCAGTCTCCTGCAAGCTGTAATACTTGGTCTAATTTCAGTGGCTGAGTTAAGCAGGCAGGTGCTGCTGGTAGCCTGTGAGATACAGCGGATAAGTCTAGATGGTCTGGTGGACCCTTCTGGCCTCAGGCTCTCTGACTCTAGCTCCAGATGGCGCCTTCGATCCAGCCCCGGGGAACAGCAAACGAGTCGTTCCCGTCTGACAGCGGTTTGGTGGCCCCTGGATAAACCAAGGTTGGTTGCTATCGAACAAGGGTGCAGGAGACAGAGGGGCACTTAGGCCCCTCGTCGGCAGCCTCAGCAGAGAAGCCAAGGGCTGACTGGACCCCGGGGGCTGAACTCTCCCCTCTCAGCCCTAGAGAGGGTCCTGCAGATCACAGAGATGGGGGCGACAGAGGACTTCAGTCTCAGTGGCCTGTGCATTCCTTGGCCTCTCTGCCTAGGCTGCTGGGAAAAGGCCTGGTAAGTGATGGGAACTGCAGGCAGAGGTCGGAATGCTCCACTTGAACCGATGACCTAGAAGCGAAAGATGCTGCCTCTCCCCTAGTCAAGCCCACAAGCCATTCAGAGCCCACCCAAGCTATTTTAGGGCTCATCAACATGCGAAGTCATTCCGGAACAAGGCAGGGTCTGGATTTCAAGTCCTATAGCTTTTCTGGAATAAGAGTATCCATATGGGAAGCTATTCTGGTCAGTTTCCCCAGGTAGACAAATCCTCAGGTCCACAGATCAGTAGTTTTTGTTGTTGTTTTTTAAGGGTAGCAGGGACTACCGCATTATCTTAGTCTGGCCTGGGTAAAGCAGACCGTGTTTCATGCAACATAATTTTGCTTCAACTGCCTCTCCCATACCCCCATTCCAAAATGCTACAGGAAAGAGTGGGGGTATAAAGACACTGTCATGCTGAAAGGGCTAAAGGCTGCCAGCAAGCAAATCCTGGATCCAAACACAATCACAGGCGTCTCTATAGCCAGTGGGTGTGGCCAAGCACTCTTTTAGGCTAAACAAAAGGAGCAATCAAGCCACTTGATGTAGTGATGGCAGCTGCAGACAAAGAAGACTGACTGCCCAAGGAAACAGGCTGCATGGCGCATCACAGCTATGTCATGTAAACTGAGGAATGGCTCAGGCAAGAGAGCGAGGGGAAGGGGCTGTGGGTGTGACCCTGATAGGAAGCAGAGAGATGGAGTTTCTTGGGGACAGACTGCTCTGGAGGGACAGACTTGAAGATTTACGAGCAAGGAAGACGCCTGTTTTGTAGAGATGGCTGTATATAGACAAGATGACATCATAAGTCTACCTGACTCGTATCATCAATTTCTCATCCTCACAGAGACAACGCTGCCAGGCCCTCAACTTCCCACCCCCACGATACTGTCTAGGCAATAAATTAAATCAAAGCCTCTGGTTGCAAGGCCAGCATGAGCAAGCGGCGGGAAAAGATCCAATTTCAAGCTGCGATCTGAAGAGGACTGGGGGGATACATTCCATCCACACGCATTTATCCAGTTCAATTAAAATGATCAAGAACAATAAACCGGCTGAGTGAATTCCAATTAAGGAGGAAGGGAAAGTTCAAAGTTAACAATTAAAACCCTCCTAAAACAAGAGCTGTGTGTGAATCTTTTTGCATCGGAGCCCAGCGGCTGACTGAACAGACCTCGGAACAGATGTGCTAACAAAGAGCCCAACGCCATAGCTAATGTGGCACTTAAGGACTGACGCAAGCCACTCCCGCAAAAGATTATTAGGGATGGAAGGTTATGGCACTAGTCAATGGACAGACCCGCTTCCTTAGGTTTGCAGTAGGGGCCTATCTCCACGGCACAAGGTATTAACAGCCTCTCACGGGGTGGGGGGAAGATACAGAGCTGTGAACGGTGTCAGATTGATTACCTATCTAGGGTACTTCTACAGTGCCCCTCACCATAGTATCTGAGCATCTCACATGCTTTAGTGTCTCCCCCCCCGACCCCTGTGAGGCTAAGTGACTTGCACCAGGTCATACAGGGGATCTGTAGCAGCACAGAGAATTGAACTTGGGTCTCCCATATCCCATGCTGGCACCCTAACCGCTGGGCCATCGTGCCGTTCTGCTAGTGCTATCTGCAAGAACTGGCTCCTAGGAGGGCGAGGCAGCTATGTATTGGTTGGTTTTATGAAACTGATGTATCGCTGAATGTCTCAGTGTATGTGGGATCCACCCTCAACTCTCAGAGCTATAGCACATCTCTTCCAGACCAGGGACAATGGAGAGTCATGGCTCTCATTCAAATGGGAGCGCGCCTCAGGACCAGGCATGGCTGAAGCTAGGAGGACTGGCTGTCTCCAGCACCTCTGCGGGGCCTTGGGTTTGGAGCACTGGAATTTCCCAGAAGGGGAGAAACAAAGAACCCATATGAACTCAGACTATAGAGAGGGGGGAAAGGGCCATGCTTTCATAGCAGATGACAGCTTTTCTGAGTGCAGCACTGCTCAAGGTCAGAGAAGCTTACTGGAGAGGAAAGAGAGCGAGACTAGCAGTCAGAAGAGAAGCCGTGAGTTGCAGGAGGAGGGTCCCGGACACCTGGTTTTTATTGTGTCTCATGTCCCTGCCCCAGAAGTCAATAAAAGGCGCCACTTACTTTTCTACTCTGATCTAAGTCCAAAGAACGTTTCAGAGAGGTGAGGAAACGGATGCAGGGAACGTGTGAAGGTGCGCGTGTTTTGTCTGGATCTGTGTATTTCTTGGGCCGTCTCAAGCAGAGAGTGATTGTTTTAGAATCCCTATTTGCAAAGCCTCTGTATGGTGCACATCAACGGTCACACGTCCCCGAGGAGTTCAACAGCAGAGAGGCCACCAGGTTGGCGCTCTGGGAAAGGGTGGGCTTGAGCAACGGGGGTGTGCCTTGCGAGGGGTCAGCACTGTTCTTGCGGGGCCTAGGGCAGCTGGACCATGGGGTGCCATTTCTGCCTGTGCCCAAGGAGTGCGCCAGAGAAGCAAAGGAAAGACAGGGTCGGGGACCACCCAGTCTGGAAGCTTAAAAAAGACAGAGCCCAGGGTGGTAGGACTCAAACAACCCGAGTGTCCAGCAGGGGGAGTATTACCAGGGCTGCAGCACCTCCATTAGGAAAGCTCTTTTGCTTCCAAACGGGGATGAACTCAAGGCCAGATCCTGCCCTCACTGAAGTCAATGAGGGTTAAGTCACAGGCTTTGAGTCTCCTCACCCCCACCCCCAGCAAGATCTGACCATTTCACCAACTACACCCCATGAGCAAGATACTGAATGGTCGATTGCAGACTTTTTTTTATGGTGGCACCTGTATAAGGAGAGCGCTGAACTGAGAAGCTGGTGAACTGGGGTGCACGGCTTCCACAAAGGCAGCAGGTTGGCGCACACTGCAGGCATCCAGAAGATAGGGGCCTGGACACTCGCATGTAACAAAGCGGGGTGTGTAAACTGCTCGCCTGCATTGGGAAAGAGGGGGCTCCTGGAGCCCAAAGCAGTGCACCTGTGTTGCTGGCAGCTGGTGGCTGGGGAGAGTTTCCCCTGCTATGGCACAGACAGGGTGTCCTCCCGCTGTAAGCAGGTGGTGGTATTAACCCCAGTCATCCTGGGTAATGCTGAAAAGTGTCACGGCTCCTCCTACCAAGGTGCCTCCATCATCACCCCAGCAGGGAAGAGAGGTCCCAATGGCCCGATGGATTCTGGACTAAGCCGACATGGGAGTTAGTGGTTCGGCTTGACACACAGACTCGCTGCAAAAGACCTCTCTCCCGCTTCTCCTCACACAGGGACAGCCAGACAGGCTGGCAGATGGGAACAACTTTCCAACGGTTGTTGTAGCCTTGATTCCCATAGCAGCAACACCACCGTTAGGAACAGGCACCCACAAGACACTGGGCCATCCAGTCCTCAGGACAGCACAGGCTGGAGCTGTTCCACAGAGCAGAGGGAAGCCAGCTGGATGAATCTGGCCCCACATATGGTATAGATTAGGGAGTAATGGGCTATACCGTCTGTCCCCCACCCACCAAAGCAGGAAAAAAACCCACCCCTTGTATCCCCACACATGGCACTCATTGCATCCTGCTCAGGCTGTTTGTGGGTATCAAACATGAGACCCCCTAGCTCTAACTGCACGAGCTGCTACTGCTTGAGCTAAAGGCCCGTATCTGCATTCTCTATGGGGCATAGCCACTAGGTAAAACAGAAGGGTGCTCTGGTGGCTAGAGCACTAGCTTAGGGCTTGGGAGACCCAGGTTCAATTCCCCGGCTCCGCCACAGGCTTCCTGTGACACATCGGGCAAGTCACTTAGCCTCTCAGAGCCTCAGTTCCACATCTGTACAAGAGGGATAAGAGCCCTGCCCCACAGGATTTTAAAGACTGTGAAGTGCAGAGATACCACCATGACAATACCTCCAGCTATCTCTACACTGCAGCCAGGGCTTTGTCTTGGAGACGTACTCCAGCTACCCGCAGTGCCACATCCTGACTTCTGAAGTGCAACTAGCACAGGTACATCCACACGAACTGCAAATCACCCCCATGTATGCATACATGTGTGACCCAGGGACCTCATGGTGCCAACTGACAGAGGGTATAAGGGTTACAGGGATCCCCGGAGTCTGGTATTTACATTCTAGTTCACCAAAAGGTTCATTTCAGGGTCTACTGAAAGTGTGTCATATACTGGTCCTCTTGATCAGTGCAAGATGGATGTACAGGGGATATTTGAGGAGTTATGTTTCCATAGAAAAATTATGTTCTTAAAGCAATGCATAAGGTAACCTGCCTTAGTTCCACCAGACAGGAGCTAAGAAACATTCCTCTCTCTGGTCTGGCTTGTCGAATACTAATGGAGGGATGTGACATCAAAGAGAAAGCAGCACACAGGAAGAAACAAGCCACAGGGGGTTTATCCTGTTTGCAAACAATGGTTTGGAGGACTATTTCTAGGGGGTGCCTATGAACCGCCCTTATTCCTTCAAGCTGTCAGTGGGCTTGATTTTATGAGGAGACTCAACCCTACTTGCTGAAAATGCTGGGGAAAGGACGTGGGGTAGGCTATCTTGTAGGACAGTAATTCTCAACTAGGGGTCCGGGTCCCCCTGGGGTGTCACAGGCAGGTTTCAGGGGGTCCACCAAGCATGGCTGACATTAGACTTGCTAGGGCCCAGGGCAGAAAGCCGAAGTCCTGCCACGCGGGACTGCAGACCGAGTCCTTAAGTCCTACCACCCAGGGCTAAAGCCAAAGCCTGATCAACTTAGCTTTGTGGGGACCCTGGGCAATTGTCTTCCTTGCTACCCCCTAACATTGGCCCTGGCTTTTATATGCAGAAAAACAGATGTTGTGGAACAGCTGGACCACGGAGTTTTTATAGCATGCTGTGGGGGCCCCGTAAAGAAGAAGGTTGAGAACCCCTGTGGTAGGAGATATGGGAATGTCTTGTGTTAATTAAATATCAGCTCTAGAAAGCATGTTATGATTTTGTTTCATATGTAACCATGGGGAGGGATAGCTCAGTGGTTTGAGCATTGGCCTGCTAAACCCAGGGCTGCGAGTTCAATCCTTGAGGGGACCATTTAGGGATCTGGGGCAAAAATCTGTCTGGGTAGTGGTCCTGCTTTGAGCAGGGGGTTGGACTAGATGACCTCCTAAGGTCCCTTCCAACCCTGATGTTCTATGAGTAACCGTTTCCAGCTGAACCTGTTCTTGTTTTCACTATATAGACACCTAAGTGGTGTTGGTGGGTGGGTGTGGTGACCCAGAGTTGAATCTTACAAGATGGAGTGTAGTGTTCCTTTGGGAACAACAGATGTACAAGTTCTGTCAGTGTTCAGCAGAACAGGACTAGGCATGCGGCAAGGACTTGGCGGGGGGCATGTGCCTATCGCTTACCTGTACAGAGAGACTGGGGTCTGCAGAGGCCTGGAAGTCAGGGCTTGTGCTCCCAGAGGCTGGTAGTTTCAGGAAGCCGACCCACAGCAGGGACAGACAAGACCCCCTCATGCTAAGGGCAACTGGTGGTGAGGGACCCGGCAAGCATCAGAACATACCCTTAAACAGCCAGACAGAGCTTAGACACGCCCAACCTACCATTTCCAGCAGCTTGAGTTTCTCATCCGACACCAGGCTCTCCTTCCTCAACTGCTCCACCACGCCCTCCATGGCTTCCAGTTTGGTGCAGTGACGCCGGTGTCGCTGCTGCAGCACCTTGACCTTCTTCTGCAGGCCCATCACCAGGTTGACCAGCTGCTGGGTGGTCAGCTCGTTCTTGTGGTAGCGGTGCTCCTCGAGCTGCTCCTCCAGGGTTTCGGCACAGAGCTCCACCTCGATGGTGGAGGAGGAGGAGTCGTCATCCAGGGAGCCGGCAGCATAGTTCGACACTATGGGCACCGTGGAGACAATGGGCACTGTCAAGGCTGAGGACAACACGGTCTCGGGAGGCGACGCACTGGACGTCAGCGGCCCCATGGCGCCGGAGGACACCACCGGCGCGGTGGGGATGGTCTCGAAATACGCCACCATCTGGCTGGTCGACACCTGCAGGGAGCTGAGGACAGCT